GCGCGGGCCCCTGGGTGGCCACTCGAGCGGCGCCCGGCCGAGCCGCCTACCTGCCGCTTGTCGCCCGCGTGCTGCTCCGCGTCCACGTGCTGCTGCAGGCGGCCCAGGCACGCCGTCCGCTCGGCCGAGAGGCGCTCCGCCGTCAGCTTGTCCAGGACGCGCATCTGAGTCACACAACGTGAGAGTCAGGGGGAGCACAGGCATGGTGAGATGACCTCGGGAGGAGCCCGGTTTCTCAGCTCCCGGGGGCCGGGACCCCCAGGGCCAGAAAGAAGGGGCCAACGCCAAGTCCTCACGCCAGTCCGTCTTCTTTTCTTTCTTCTTCGAGTCGGAGTCTCACTCTGTCGCCCAGGCTGGAGTGCAGGGCACGCTCACGGCCACCGCAGCCTCAGCCTGCTGGGCTCAGGGGATCCTTCCGCCTCAGCCTTCCGAGTCGCTGGAACTCTAGGCATGGGCCACCACACCTGGGTAATTTTTTTACTTATTGTAGGGATGAGGTTTCGCCGAATTGCCTAGGCTGGTTTCAAACTTGTGGGCTCAGGCAATCCTCTCACCTCAGCCTCCCAAAGTGTTGGGATTCTAGGCGTTGACCACCACGCCCGGCCAATTTTCACATAGTATTCACGAAACTCTACTTTTTCAGAATTCCTGAGCAAGTTTCTATGAGGTCAGTGTTTTTTTCTTTTTCTTTCCTTCTTTTTTTAAATAGAGACACAGTCTCACTCTGTCGCTCAAGTTGGAGCAGAGGGGCAGTGGCGTGAACATAACTCACTGCAGCCTCCACTTCCTCGGCTTGTGACCCTCTTGTCTCAGCTTCCCAATTAGCTGGAACTACAAGTGCATACCACACCTACCTAATTTTAAAAAATTTTTTCAGAGGTGGGGTCTGGCTTTGCTGCCCAGGCTGACCTCGAATGCCTAGCCCCAGTGATCTTCCCGCCTCAGCCTCCCAAAGCCTCCCAAAGCGCGAGGACCATAGGCATGAGCCACACTGCCCCTGGCCTTTCTTTTTTCGCATTTGTAAAAGTCCTCAGGGGTTTCAGAGACTGTGGATATGCCGTGAACATACAACGTGAGCCCATGCAGACCCGCTGGGCAGAAGAGAATTTTTACAGACTTTAAAACATGGCTTTCAAGACGACTGCGAGGAAAAACATATTTAAAAGTATGGAGTTGTTCCCTGCCCTCAACACACATATTTAAAACCGTTCGTGTTACCCACGAGGCACGTCACAAACTGAAGACTCGGGGCTTTTATCCAGCTTTTCCAGGAGCAAAGACTTGTGACGCTTCCGGAAGCAGCGATGCGCATAGAACAAGAGAGGGAAGGAGCTGAGAGCATGGCTTCAACAAGCAGCTGTCGCCTTTTTTTTTAAGTTGGAGTCTCACTCTGCCACTCGGGCTGGAGTGCAGGGACACGCTGCTCAGGGCCACCACAGCCTGGACCGGCCGGGCTCACGCGATCCTTCTGTAGCTGGAACTACAGGCGTGTGCCACCACACCTGGCGAGTTTTTCTTGATTTATCGTAGAGATGAGGTCTCACCATGTTGCCCAGGCTGTTGGTGGAGCCAGCTGGGAGAACTCACTGGTGGGCCCCTCCTGTCAGGGACACACATCACATTCCATACTCGAATGTTCAAGGCTTTTTTTTTTGAGTTGGGGTCTCACCTTGCTGCCCAGGTTGGAGTGCAGTGGCACAATCACAGCTCACTGCAGCCTCGACCCTGTGGCTCATGTGAGCCTTCTGCCTCTGCCTCTGCCTCCCCAGTAGCTGAGACTGCAGGCGTGCACCACCACCAAGCTTGGCTACTTTTTTTACTTTTTGTAGAGACGAGGTCTCACTATGTTGGCCAGGCTGGTCTCAAACTTCTGGGCTCAAGGAATCCCCCCACCTTGGCCTCCCTAAGTGCTGGGATGACGGGCCTGAGCCACTGCGCCTGGTCAAAACATTTTTCGAAGAAACGTCAGTTCTGGAAGCGTGCTGAGCATCTGTTGTTCTCTTCCCCAGGCCCGTGCCACGTGAACTCCCTCTAGGCCTGGCCCGCCCTCCCACCTCCTCACCCTCTCCTCCTCAGCCCTCACGGGGGCTGCTTCAAGAGCCTCCATGTGTTTACGTCATTCTGTCCACAGGTGGTGGTCACCTGAGGCACAGCACCTGACCGCCCAACTCGTTCCTGCCATGAGGAATCAGGACTAGGATGCCACACCCGTCTCTGACCTTCCTGGCGCGGAAGCGAGGTCCCTGAAATGCCAGCATTCGCCTCAACACATTCCTCCTTGGCCTTGGGCTCGCTGTTTGGCTTCTGCAGCTTTATGCCTTCGTTTGCTGCTCAGTGGTTAGTTCTCGCCCACACTGACTACAGATTTTTGAAAGTGGTTACAGGTGTGACAGATACATAAGTAACCAACGTACAGAGCTTGTTTGGCGAACCTTCTGGACGATGCAGACAGATACGGCGGGGGCCACTCCTTAGTCCGTTGCCCAGGCAGCTTGGCTAAGCCTGGTGTCAGTAGACACCTCTGAGTCCCGTCTGCTTCGTGGCGAACTTGCAGATCCCTGCGAGTGCCCAAGGGGCATGCTATCCGCTCCACAGGCTTGTGAGTGTTGGTGGTGCATTCTCGGACCACCCCCTATCTGGGGCAGAATGTCCCTTCTCACCACCCTTCTCTGTGGGAGCCATTCTCCTGGGTCCGAGTTGGAAAGCTGAGTGGTTTTTTTTTTTAAATACACAAAACAGTTTTAACAAATGTATTTTGGCCCTAGGAAAATACATTTTTTAATGGGTTTTCTAAGCCATGCAGATAGCAAATCTTAATCGTGTTCAACCTTGCCAGGAAACAAGGAAACACGGCTTTAACAGTAAAATGTCTGTGATCAGTTTGGCAAAACCTTTTAAAAAATGATAAGATTAAATGATGGCAAAGGATTGTGACCAAAGCTCTGCTGGGGGACATGAATTGGTACAACCTCTTACTAAATAATTTGCGGATTTTTTTTGAGTTAGAATCACACTCAGTCACCCAGACCGGAGTGCAGTGGCCACTCCCGGCCACCGCAGCCTCGACCTGCTGGGCTCCAGCGATCCTTCCACCTCAGCCTTCCAAGTAGCTGGAACTACAGGCGTGCGCTACCACGTCCGGCTGATTTTTTGATTTATTGTAGAGATGAGGTCTCGCTGCCCAGACGGGTCTCGAACACGCGGGCTCAGGCCATCCACTCACCTCAGCCTCCCAAAGCGCGGGATTACAGGCTGAGCCACCGAGCCCGGCAATTTGCCAATATTTATTAAGAGCCTTAAACATATACCTTTGGACCCAAATTATTCTAATTCTGAGCAAATAATCTGAGAAGCAGTGAAAAGTTTATGCACATAAATGTTAATCGGCATTATTTATGAATGAAAAACTAGAAGTAATGCTAACTGTCTAACAGAAAGAAATGCTAAAATAAATTATGATATACTCGGGTGCTATCAGCATATATTGAGTATTACAATCTTAATACAGCTTTTTCCTTTCTGAATTGTTATACTTTTGGGGCACCCTCTGTATAATATGCTGGAATATTATAAAGTGAAGGACATGGGAAAATACTAATGACATAAAATTAAGTGGAAAAAGCAAAATACTAGTCCTGGCCGGGCGTAGTGGCTGTAATCCCAGCATTTTGGGAGGTGGAGGTGAGAGGACTGCTTGAGCCCAGGAGTTCAAGATCAGCCTGGGCCACGTGGTGAGACCATGTCTCTACAATAAGTAAAAAAACATTAGCTGGGGACGGTGGCGTGTGCCAGTAGTCCCAAGCTCCTCATACTCAGGGGGTTGAGGCGGAAGGATCACCTGAGCCCAGAAGGCCGAGGCTGCTGTCATCGTGCCACTGCACTCCAGCCTGGACAACAGAGTGAGGCTCCAACCCAAAACAAAATCAAGAACAAAAAACGATTCCTCTTTATGTAGGGCTGGTACACCGCCATGAGAAAGTACACTGTAGCTCGGCACGTCTAAGGTGTGTTACTAGATGAAAAAGCAAGCAGCAGAAAGAAGTAGCATGGTTCCGTTTTTGCTTCAAAGTGATAATTATGTCGGCTGCAATCTAGAAGAGAGAAAAGCTATAGAAGATGGGAGGGATCTCTGGGGAGCGTCACCTTGATGCAAATTTCCATAGTGTGGGGTGATTATTTTGAGTCAGAGTCTCACTCTGTTGCCCACGCTGGAGTGCAGTGGCACCGGCATGGCTACCGCAGCCTCGAGCTGGGCTCAGGCAATCCTTCTGCCTCAGCCTCCTGAGTAGCTGGGACTACAGGCACATGCCACCATGCCTGGCTAATTTAAAAAAAAATTTTGTAGAGATGAGGTCTCGCTACATTGCCCCAAGTGGAATCAAACCCCGCAGCTCAAGAAATCCTTCCACCTCAGCCTCCCAAGTGCTGTGCTACAAGTACAGGTGTGAGCCACCATTCCTGGCTTGGTTTTTTTCCAATGAACATGTATTATTTTTAAAGTGTTTTTTGTATTTTTAAAAAGTCAATATCCATTACACATTTCTTATTAATTACAAAGGGAATTTAATTACAGTGGAGGAATATGGTGGTTACCAACTCAACCAAATGGTCAAACTTCACCTCATTAATAATGAGACAACCTAGCCGGGCTCGGTGGGTCAGCCTGTAATCCTGCGCTTTGGGAGGCCAAGGCGAGTGGATTGCCTGAGCCTGCGGGTTCGAGACCCGCCCAGTCAACTTGGCGAGACCTCCTCTCTACAATAAATCAAAACATTAGTCACACGTTGTGGGACATGCCTGTAGTTCCGGCTACTTGGAAGGCTGAGGCGGAAGGATCACCTGAGTCCAGCAGGTCGAGGCTGTGGTGGCCATGAGCATGCCACTGCACTCCAGTCTGGGTGACAGAGGGAGACTCCAACTCAAAAAATAAATAAATAAATAAATAAATAATGAGACAACCTGACATGTGCCTCCTGATGAGAGGCAAGTTCAAGTGTGTACCACTAATTATGAAGTATTCTTGTCAGAAGTACTTAACCTGAGCCTGAGTAAACATCTAGACCTAGTTCTCGACCTTTCGCTCATACCAGCATCGCCTGGAGGTCTCGTTAAACACAAGTTGATGGATCCCACAGTTTTATTCACCGTTGAATTCAGTTCAGTAGAGCTGGAATGAGGCTCAAGAATTCGCTTCCCCTCACACCCGCCTTCTAGTTCCCAGGGAAGGCCGACTTGCTGGTCCACAGACCACACTTTGAGAACCACCGTTCTAGATCCAGCTTTCAGTTTACGGAAACATAGGGAGCGAGGAACAAGCCAAGTAATACCATGAAGAAACTGTCAGACGAATCCAGAATAAAGAATATCATGTAAAACCACAGGCCCGGATGCTTTAAAAAGTTAGTATCGGGCTGACACGCTGGCTCACACCTGTAATCCCAGCACTTTGGGAGGTCATGATGGGAGGACTGCTTGGGGCCAGGAATTTGAGACCAAGCTTAGGCAATACAGCATAACCTTGTCTCTATTTTTAAAAAAATTAGCCAGGCTCGGTGGCTCAGCCTGTAATCCCACGCTTTGGGAGGCTGAAGTGAGTGGATTGCCTGAGCCCACGGGTTCAAGACCCGCCTGGGCAACTTGGCGAGACCGCATCTGT